CAAATAATAAAATCCCTCTAAATTATATAAATAATAATTTGATATCTCAAAATATTATAATTTTAGTAAATTTTTTAAAAATTTATGTGTTAATAAATTTTAAAGTGAAAATGTTATTTTATTTTTATTAAAAATAATAAATTTCAATCACAATCTTTACATAATGACTTTTGTTTTGCGAATCATAAAAATTAAATAAAAATTTACAACTTATCATATATAATTTTTGTTATTAAAAATAAATTTTAATAATAATTTTTGCTTAAAGAATAACAACTTTTTACTTTGTAAATTGTAAGAGTTGAATAAGAAATTACAATTTATCAAGTGTAATTTTTATTATTAAAAAATAAGTTCTTAAAATAATAAATTTCATTTGTAATTTTTGTTTAAAAAATAATAACTTTTATTTACAGAATCGCAAGAATTATATAAAAAATCACAACTTGTTAATAAGGGTAAAATATTCTTTTAAATTTTAAATTTATTAACACAAAAGTCCTTAGAGATTTTAGTAAAATTATAATATTTTAAAAAATTAAATTATTATTTATATAATTTGAAGGATTTTATTATATTTTCTCGCAAATTATCTTTACTAATATTTACCTTCCAACAAAAGAAAGCATACAAGGATGTATAATCTAATTCCTTGCCTTTTCCTTTCCTTACCCATCTACTATTTGACCTATAACAAAATTCTTAAAAATAAAATATGAGTGAGATAAAAATTTTAGTATTTTAATATATTAAATTGTTCATATATAACTAATACCATAACACAATTATTTAGAAAAAAAATAGGTAGGAACTGCAAAAGAAAATTGTTTATGCAGAAAATGGATTGCATTAACAATCCTGCTAATAAAATTACATCAACAATTTCTATAAGCCAGGATCAACCAAGGTTCTTATTACTCAATTGCATCAACAATTCCTATAACTCCACATCAATCAAGGTTCTTATTATTAGATAAATCACATCTACTAACATTATCTAATTGTTTATTATATTATTAAGTGCCCATATCCATGACTTTATATTGAATAAATGCAAGTAATCATCATGAATATAATGTAAACATCTACAGTTGTAATAAGTTTGGTAAACAATCATCAAAATTAAAAGATTCAATAATAAAATTTATTACCTTTTTCTTCTCAAAATACTTTATGAATTTCTACAGTAATTCACTAATCGTTCTTGCTAAGAAATTTCAACCCCAAATGCCACGCCATGCAAGGAAAAGGAAAAGGAAAAGGAAATGAAAGCCATAGTTCATTTTTCTCTCCACCTCTGTTACACAAAGGCAAAGGGTAGTCGAAGAGGCAACGATTTTATGAATTATAAAAAAAAAATGAATATAATAAGTTAGTGGGCTACAATTACTCTAACAGAGCCTATTGCTAATTAATTTCCCCTATGAATTTAAAGGATGATGACAATGATATGATAATATTATACAAAACATGTTCTTAGTTTTATTTTGGAATAATTTATTTATTATTTATTTTTGTAGGAAATTATTTAAATGCCTCCCTAATCAACACTCAAAAATCAAATCTTGGGATGCGACACACACAGTTGAACAATGGATTTGCCCCTGTGCGTTCAACCTGTATTTTAACTTAAGAGCTTTGAATTCAAGGGAAAATAATTGATAATAATTCAAATTAAGTTTCAAAATATTAAATTTCAGAAGCTTGCAAATTCAATTCTCAATTTTATAATTTTATTATAATAATTTAATAATTTACAATTTAATTTTTAAATTTTAATATGGTGAAAGAATAAACAAATTTATTTTCTTTGTTAATTTGCAAATTCATTACAATAAAATTATAAAATTAAAAGTTAAACTTATAAATTTTTAAAATTTAACATTTTGAAACTTAATTTAAATTGATTAATTTATTAGAATATATCTATCATTCTTCTTAAGTTTAATGCTTCACTTTTGAGTTTTTGGGCCCTTTTTTTCACCTCCTTTGCATTGTTGGAGTATATTCTGCTGGTTTTCATTATTCTGTCTATTCATTTTGTAGGAAGGATCTATTTGATTTTAGGGAATTTCTGTACGATCAGCGAAATAGTTTTCAAGGACAGCCTTCAAACACAACTAAGGCTGCCAACGTTGACTTCACTTGAGGATATAGAAAAGAAACAGAGTTGTGAATTTGGCGAGTCAGTGATGAGAAGCTGAATATCAGCATTATGAGTTGATTTAATGAGCTCAATACTTTTTTTTTTCTGTAAAAATTAGCTGAATGCTTTTATTAGTGAACAAGACACCCAATTCCACTTCCTTGACTTGTCATCTTTCAAACTTCTTTTTCAAAAATGTTCGCGATCTGAATTTTTCTCGAATGGATTCATATTTAATCATGTTAATTTGTCTCATTTTCTTCATAAATATATCGATATAATGATAGTTGTAAAAATATACTCTCTCTGTTTAAAAATATAAAATATTTTTTAAAAATTAAATGTTTAAAAATATAAAATATTTTTAATTTTTTGAGATGTAATTATTTTTTTTAAAATATTCTTATAAATGAATGACTTTATATTTATCATAGGGTATTTAATAGGAGTAAATATGAAAATATAGAACTAGTTTAAAGGTAAGTAATTATATTATTAAGGAGTAAAATTTGATTAAAAATATCTTATATCTTTTAACGAAAGAAGTGAGTCTAACGTGTCATTCATCAAATGTGATGTCTTAAGTTCACATATCGTTTCATTGAATCCGTAAATGTACTTTTGTTTAAAGGTTAAATAGATGATTTCTAATTTTTTAAAAGCATTTGGGTTATTAAACTTATTTTGTGTAATATTCTACTTCAATTTTTTAAAAATAATACGATGTAATTCTTACAATTAATAAAAATTAATTTTGATCATTAATTGATTAGAAAATAATATGAAAGGATATAAAAAAATTTGTCATTTTTTGCAATTTTTAGAACTTTTCTAGAATTTTATTGATTTTTTCTGTTATTCTTTTGATCAAATTCTATCATTTTTAATTATTAACAGTTAAAATTAACTTTTATTAATAATAAAAGTTACACTATATCATTCTCAAAAATTTAAAAAAAATTTATACAAAAAATGAGTTTGAAATTTTAAACGTTCCTTGATCTATAATTTAATGATCAAACTATTCTTTAACCCTTTATTACACACACATATTTTACATACTTGGTCAAGTTAAACAATTACCCTATACGTCATTTTTAAAGTAACAGTTTAATGTTTACTTGAAAACTTTTATATATTAAAAAAACAAAAAAATTAAAATGTCTGTAAAATTGAGTGACAGGAAAATTAAAAAGAGAAATTTTATTTTATCGACAATGTACATAAAATAGTTAGCGCAGCATTTTTTATTTTTATTTTAAAAAAATCGCATTCAAAAAATTTTTAAAAAAATTATTTAAAGCCAATGATTAATATAAAATTATTTTTTTATTAAAATGATAATAAAAATTTGATTTTTTAAATAATGACTTGCTATTGATTTTTATTTATAAATAATTCTCTTACAAGATTTTTAAGTGTAATTCTCTTTTTATCTTCCTCATAAGGCAAGTACAATTGTACAAAGAAGGTTCAAGGAGATACTCCTTTCATTTAAAAATATAAAATATTTTTAAAGAGTTTAATGTTAAAAAATGTAAGATATTTTTGATCTTTTAATGTATAATTTTTGCCTTTTTTTAAAAGTGTTTTTATTAATAATAATTTTATATTTATTATAAAGTATTTAATAGAAATAAATATAAAAAATAAGATTAATTTAAAAGTAAATAATTATTTTAATAAAAGTAAAATTTGATTAAAAATGTTTTAAATTTTTTAATGAAGGATGTACATTTTAGAGGTTAAGGGAGAGAGGAGGTGAAGAAAAATGGACAGTCTATTTTATTGGGCAAACAAAAATAAATTAAAAATAGAAAATAACTACCTTCTATTTTTTTGCTGAGTAGCCTAATTAAAGTAATTATTTCATAACCTATAATTGTTACTCCAAACAATAGATTAGGTTCCTATAATCCAAGCAATAGTTATATGTCGTGGTACTTAATTAACTCAGCTTTTTGTTTTTTTAAATTTTTCCCTAATTTTAAGTGGTGGGTGCATATCCTTTTGCATTTAATATATTATATCTGACTTATTTTATACAAATATAATGTAATATTTAGTATCATATGCAAAAAAAAAGGAAAAATCTTGTACACGTAACCTTATATGTTAAATATCTTTATTTTCAATTAAATTGTGTATCTTTTCTAAATTATTTTAATTTATAATAAATTCTTATTATTAATATTATTAACATATTAAAATCTATATATTTTGATTTAATTGAATAAAAATATATTAAATATATAAATTTAAATATATAAATTTTGCTCACAAAATTAGGATTAATTAGTAATTAATTAATTAAATTTATTGTAGGCTTATTTAAATGAAAATTCACAAATTGGGTGTCTGCATAGCCTTGGAGAAAAAGAATGTACACTTGTTGTTGGGATTTGAATTTGATGATAGTACATAAAACTTATATCATTTGAGTAGTAAAAATTTATATTAATAATTTAAATAAATTTATTCATTTATTAATATTAAATGAAGTATAAAGTTAAAACTATTAATATAAATTTTAATAATTTAAACAATATATGTACTTAATATATGTATAAAATGTAATATCGAATTCAAATTCCCTTGTGTCGGAAATTGATGAAAATGAACAGGCAAGTAGCTGCCCGAGGGTCCGTTAAGGTACTTGTTGGCCACCTGTCTGTTTTTGGATTCTCCACCTTTTGATTGTAGAAATTTTTTATACGATGACAAAACTATTTATGTCAGATAACACGGTTTTTATCCGTAGCCTTTCACTCAAAAAAAAAAAAAAAAAAAACGAAGGGCCATCTCTTTCTTTATCAGCCCATTTCGTTTCGTGTTGCTTATCTTCCTAATGGTAAATTCTTAAATACAATAGACTCCAAATCAGCAAAAGCAAAATATCTGTCTGGAAAATTCACTCCATCGCTCTTCTTGCCACAGTCAGCAGCGATTCTGTGATTTCTGTCACTCGCGCCAAAACCCTAATCCTATGGAAATCTCATCAATTCCAGACAAATGCTTCTTCCCTCCAATTCGTTATTCTTTAGTTCATCCTCTCCCACCTTTCTCCAGATTTTCGTTGTTTTTTTGCAAGAACCCCGGTCATGCTTCTAGCTCTGTCAGGCCCCTTCGACGATCATGTTCTTGTTCGGCCTCTAACCCTGATACTTTGCTTGCCGGGTCGCGGAAGGAGGATGGTAAACATCACCCCGAGGTCTTTCATAGCAAGAAAGAAGAAGAGCTTGGTGATTTGAAATCCTGGATGCACAAGAATGGGCTTCCTCCTTGTAAGGTTGTTCTAATGGAACGCCCTTCCTACAATGACAACCATAAGCCCATACATTATGTTGCTGCTAGTGAAGATCTTCAGGTTCGCTGACCGCATATTTTGTTTTTATTTTTTTAAATGAGGTGTTTATTTCTGTAGTGGGTTTTCTGATGTGTTGAACTATCCTACTTCAGGTGGGTGATGTTGCATTCTCGGTTCCAGATTCGTTGGTAGTCACACTTGAGAGGGTGTTGGGCAACGAGACTATTGGTAAGGTGAAATGGTTTTGAGTTTTAACTCGTTGATTATGGCTTTGCCTTGTCCCATGGTTCAAATATTCGGATTGCGTATATTATCCGTTTTTCCACAGAAAGAATATATATAAGATTGTGTTGGGTTTAACACCAATCTGAACGCCAGTATAGTTTATAGAAGTCTTGGAGCTGTCCGTGTTAGTTTCATTTGATGTGACTTCCGCAGCTGCCAGTTGGAGGTGGTTAAACCATCTGATAAACGGTGCTTTGACATCTCTCGACTAAAATAAGCTTTGATGAATTATGATAGCTAAACCAGCGCGGTCTCAGCAGAATGGCCGAGTTGATTTCAAGCTCCTTGGATTTTTATAATAGGATTTATTTAATTGTCGGAAAGCTACTAAGTGACATGTTGTCAAGGCATTCTAATAATTTTTATCTGTTTCTCGTTTTATCCACCATGCAGCTGAATTGTTGACTACAAACAAATTGTCTGAATTGGCATGCCTGGCATTGTATTTGATGTATGAGAAAAAACAAGGGAAGAAGTCTTTCTGGTATCCATATATTAGGGAGCTTGATCGCCAGCGTGGTAGGGGGCAGCTGGCAGTGGAATCACCCCTTCTGTGGTCAGAATCTGAGCTGTCTTACCTTACAGGAAGTCCCACCAAGGTGACTATATATTCCCTCTATCCTGATTGAAGATGAATACTGCTACCACAGTATTGAGGGTTGCACAATTTGTCCGGTCTTGTGCTTGAAATTTTCAAATATCTTGAGACTAAACTCTTGAGGCTATAATTTAGGCTGAAATTCTTGAAAGGGCTGAAGGAATTAGAAGAGAGTATAATGAACTTGACACTGTCTGGTTTATGGCTGGTTCACTGTTTCAGGTAATGAAACTTGTCATAGCAACGGAAGCACTACTATAGGTGTTTTTTTATGCTTGGTCTTACTTTATTTGCATCATGCACTATGCAGCAATACCCATTTGACATTCCAACTGAGGCGTTCTCATTTGAGATTTTCAAACAGGCCTTTGTTGCAGTTCAGTCATGTGTTGTCCATTTACAGGTAAATTTCTCCTCTTGTGCGTGCCTTTACTGCTAGTAAAATATGCACAAATGATTCTGAAGCTTAGTGGTTTGTTGGCTGATTTTTAACTTATATGACGAGAGGTTCGCACTTGGTCATGGAAGTACCACCACCTAAATTGTGATTATAATTCAAATCAATTGTTAGATGAAATGGTGCAGCTTTAATCTTTGTCTGCTTTCAAACCAGAAAGTTAGTTTAGCTCGAAGATTTGCATTGGTTCCTCTTGGACCTCCCTTGCTGGCCTACAGAAGTAATTGCAAGGCAATGTTGTCTGCTGTTGATGGTGCAGTTCAGCTGGTGGTTGATCGTCCTTATAAAGCTGGGGAGCCTATTGTTGTTTGGTAGGTGCTTATTCATATTACAGCGCGTAACTAGGTCAAAGAATGATATGCATCGTTTTTGTTTCTCTACAAGGTTTGAAATTGGTGGTTTTCAGGTGTGGACCACAGCCTAACTCAAAATTACTCATAAACTATGGTATTGTTGATGAAGAAAATTCTCATGACCGTCTAGTTGTTAAGGTATTAGGTGGAGCCTTGATTTTCTGCTTCTGGTGTTTTGCTGTTTCTAATTTAACCTTTCTGGTACATGTCACAGGCAGCCTTGAATACTGAAGATCCACAATATCAAGATAAAAGAATGGTTGCTCAAAGAAATGGAAAATTATCAGTTCAAGTTTTTCAAGTATTATTACTGAACTCTTCATGTTCTTGGTTTATTCAGTGGTCACTCTCTTTAATTCCACAGGTCACCCTATCTGCAGGTTTTTGCTGGGAAGGAAAGAGAAGCTATCTCAGATATGCTTCCTTATCTGCGTTTGGGCTATGTTTCAGATCCTTCTGAGATGCAATCTGTCATTTCCTCTCAAGGTCCAGTTTGTCCTGTAAGTTTCTCGTCCATGTTTTTTGGTTGATGTAGATTCTGAACCTGCCAAAGATCATAATTCAGTATATGTCAATGTTTCTTGGGCTTACTCTTTTGATATAATTCTTTCATACAATCTCCGTAGCCTCTGGCTGTGAAATCTTGTGATTAGTTAATTAAAACTTTATTTTATTGCCCTGTTATCATGTGACACCAGCTGAACGGAGAATGAATCTATTGAAGTAAAAAGCATATGCCTATTTTATGTCACAGGTGAGCCCTTGTATGGAACGGGCTGTGCTGGACCAGCTTGTTGGTTATTTCGAGACTCGGCTAGCTGGCTACCCCACTACCTTGGTTGAGGATGAGTCTTTGGTACTGATTTGTCAAAATATTAAGTTGAGTTTATTAGAATATGGCTTGGCAGCCTTTTATTGATGATCTGTGTATTGCATTAGTTGGCAGATGGTAATTTAAATGCAAAAAGACGAGTTGCTACGCAACTGGTTAAGCTGGAAAAGAAAATACTTTGTGCATGTTTGCAGGCAACTGTTGATTTGATTAGCCAACTACCTGATGATAGTATATCTCCATGTCCTACTCCCTATGCGCCTTCATTGAATTAAAAGGTCCAGTTCTCACCCTCTCCAGATGTATATCCCCCCTCCCCCCATCTAGTGTACGTGAGTATGCATATTGGTGGCTAAAATCCATTTCATATTTTTATTGATTTAGATGAACTTTCTGCAGAAATCTATAAATCTCATTTGTTGTTGTTTTGGACCTACCTTGATGGACTGGATACACCTTTACAAACGAATCAGGTCAGTGCAGTAGGGTTTCCATGACAGTGATGAAAAGTGAAACTGTCCTATTAGATGGAAATCTGGTCAGTAGAAATCTAACGAGTTAAATCATAGAACGCCATATTGGTGATAAATTGAAAACTAACTCGCTTTATCCTGTCCTACTCATTTCAAATCTAAGCAATAGATCCAGTAGTAATGTTTCAGAAGCAAAGAGATCGCCTTATTATATTATCCGTTCATTTTTTTTTCTTCGGTAATAATCGTCTGTTTATTTGGTGACAACCAAAGTGTCACGTGCTTTATTATTTTTCCCAAGCTTTGAATATACTTAGAAAAGAATGTGAGGGAGACCTAACCCAGGTGCATCAGTGGAAAAGATAGCGATCAAGAGTACAACTTATGAATTACACCGGCTAAAAAGTTCGAGGAAATTATTCATCTGCTAATCAATATTATCTGGATTCTAGTCAGTGTTCTTATTTTAGGATTTTTCTTACTGCTCAGGTAGATACTTACGCCTAATGCGTTTCAGCACTATTATTGGCAGAGTCTGTGAAGTTAAACTCTCAAAGGCTTGTGCAAAGAATAGAGAAATGAAAATACTGTGCTGGAGCTGTAGGATATCTGGATATGACTAATCATTTGTTTGAATTTGAATCACGACTCAGGATATGAAGATGTGCTGACCTCTACGCTGATGATGTGGCCTCTTGCTGGATTTAATATAATTATATCTCATTTTTTCAGGTGTATCTGAGTAGGTACCTAGGCTAGGAATAATGGTGCGAGGCTCCAGCTAGCTACATAGATGATGTGTCTGCTTTATAATTCACTCAAACCAGGTGTACTTGCCTTGCTCATCCTTCACTATGGGTGTTGCTGATGTCTATTTGCAAGGGAGCATACCAGTCCGGCAAAGGTCCAGTTGTCTTCATCTGGGGTCTGCGCAGATGTTCTAAGTTTGACTTTTTGCACGATAACATCGTAATCATGCTCTGTAAATGGAACACAGGATCAGAAATCCTAAAATTCAATTGTCTATATGTTTTTCTGACAGTTTAAAGCCCGTCTTACTATTCATATGGCCCAAACACGCAAGCATTGGGCGCCAATGAGTTTCTTAAGAGTGCATTTAGAGGTTTAGGACTGAATGAAATAGAATGATCATTAATTAAATGGAATGGAGGGTGGAATGGAATAAAATTTTTCATTGTTTGGAAGTTATATGATAGGAAAGAATGATTTTATATGATTATTATTTGAAAGTTATTATAAAATGGATATGATGTAATGGATTAAAGCTTTTTTTCCATCCAATATTACTCATATAATTAAATTTTAAAAAAATAATTAAAATTAATGGTCAAAATAAGGTATTCAAGACTAAGAATAAAAATAACTTGGTTTTGAACATAAAATAAGTTAAGATGTACAATTATTATTTTTAGAAGATATCAAAATCATTACAATTTCATTGTTGTTAAGTTAGAAAAAATTATTATTACTTTTGTAGCTGTAGGGTTTAGTTACACGATGTAACATTTATTTTAACTCTTAAAAATAATAAATTTTTTTTAATTTAATGGTAAGGTTTTAGGTGCTTGAAAATTTAAAAGTCGAAAAATGTTTTTGTACATTTCAGGAGTTCAAAATTCAAGATGTTATTTGCACAATAATTTAGGGTTTAGAATGCTTATTAATTCTATATTATATTTAGTTATTGTAGTAATGTATTATTTTGTTTAGAAATATAAAAAATATGGCCTACAAAATAAGTTTGTATTTTGTTTTATTTCATGCATTAAATTGTTTTCTGGGGAAAAAAAATATCTGTCCTATGAAAGATGAGATTTTAAAAAATTAAATGAAATTTCATCCAATGCATTTGAAATTTTTAATTAATTAGTATTCTTTTTTAATATCTAATAGCTGAATACGCGGCCATGTATTTATTTTTACTATTATTGCTAACAAATTTCGAGTTTTGGTTATCATTACATTACACCTAAACTCTCAAATATTTTCAAGTGAAATATTCTTCTTTATAAGTCACTTTTACTAATCTCATCAATATCAATGTAAAAAAATATAAAGAATAAAAATGTATAAAATTCTAAATATGTCTCCTATGTAATAAATTCAAAAAGTGATGTCATATTAGTTTTTTTTTTCATGAAGGGTACTTTTGAAAATACCTTTTAAATATTATTTAAAAAGCCATATCATACCTTATAAATGAAATAAGATAGACTTTTTAAACTTTGCCTTATAAATGAAATGAGAGGGAGTAACTTTGCAAGCAACTGGTCTTTTTTTTTAAAAAAAAAGGTGGGGAAAAACTTGCAAGCAACTTTTTATGTCATCTCATTTTTCTTTGCTCATCGTAAGTCATTCACTTGTATCACTTAACAAAAAATATTGGTCATCTTACGTGGAATTGCGAGTGTTGTAATTATTTTATTTAAACTTGAAAATAATTAAGGCCATCTCGTCATTTCAAAGGAAATTTAAACCTTCCATCTGTGACTTGTTTTCGCCCTTTCATCCGTGCATTCCTATGAGATTGTTAGCTGTAACCCAATCCCAAATTGTCTTTATCGTAAATATTCTCGTCTGTAAAGAGTGAAAAATTATGCTTAAATAAATATGCACTTCGCTTAGGAAAAAATAGAGTTGATCACTCAATTGAAGGCCCAGAAAAACTACAATTAGTCAATTACTCGGCATATGGGATTACTCAATTTGACACAAAAATACATTTAAATTAAAAAATTAAGGGAAACTGCAACTTTAACCCGTATACAGTGGGCAAAAAATACAACTGATTATGAGTCTAACCTGTCCATTAATATCTGTACATTATAATGAACAAAACTGTGTAGTAGCTAACCAAATTAGGGAATTAAGAGATTGAAAAGAGTTACAATTTGATCGACCGAAGGCAACAAGGTAGAATCAAAAATTGAAAAGCTTGACGTGCTGCAGCATGTTTATGTCTCGAACTACATCAAAATACTTAATTTTGTTCTCCACAGCTGCGAAATCACTTCCCTTGGCTGTGGATTATCAGGCCCTCTGTCCCGCTGTCCTGATGTAAAGTACAACCATCCATTGTAAAAACCAGTTAACGTAGTTTTCACACGGAAAGGAAGCTTTCCGATCACCGTCCATGTCTGCATCATCAGTAAAGAAAACGAAATAAATTTCAAATTAAACCAAAAAAGAAAGAAAGAAACAACCACAAAAACTAGTCATAGGAGATAAAACTAATGTTTCTCATCAGCAGCAGAGGAATACCATGGTGTCTAAATTAAACCGGAAGATCTCTCCGACCAGGATCATCCTTTTTGTAACTGGGTGCTTTTCTGTTGTGCCCCCAGTGATGATAATTGAGTTGTTGACAACTGCCCAAGAACACTCAATGTGGGAGTCTGGTTTTGGCATAGGTGGTAAATTCTTCCACTTCATTTCTTCATCCAGCATATAAACATCAGCATAGACCACCTGAATATGTTTAGCATATATAAGTAGTGCAAGAGATTATTTATAATGCAATACAGAACAACTCTCTCATGCCAGATGTCCAAACTTAGTTTAAGTATCCAAGTATAACTGACGAACACATCAAACTATAATATCATTCGATTCGTTTTGTGGCTAACAAAAATGCTGTTGATACCTCATGCCGGCGGGAGCACTTGAATATAGGTGAATTGGGTTTGGGCATAAAATCACCCTCTTGCCCACCTATTGCAAATAGTCGATCATTGACCACGACGCAAGCCCTGCCAGCAAAATGGTATACATTGATGAGAGCCAGCTATCAAACCTCCATCAGAAGGCACAGAAAGATATGGCACCACTGTTCAAATATGACACACAAAGCTGAACAATGACCATAGAGATTTTGGCTTTCTTAATAAATGATTGTATGCATAAAATCCGCAAATGTTGCTGCATGAAAGTTATTTTTTCCTGGCTTAAACAAGAACAGAATTTAAAGCTTTCACATTGAAGAGGAACATAGAATAGTGTAAGTTTACTATTAGAATCTGAGTAGTCTGCGAACCTATGTGGTCCACCACGTGGAATGGGAATTTCAGACCGCCATTCTTTGTCCAAAGCTTCACCATCCTTTACAGCGAGACTCCAATGTTCTAATGCAGGCGTATGGCGATTCTCCTTGCCGCCACCCATGGCATGGAGTCTTCCTCTCCACAATTGAGTACAAGGAGAATACCTGTGAAATCCCTGTGTTATAATTCTTCATTGGACTTGCTAAGTGTACTCGGTAAAGTTCAGTTATAGATAAAGTTAGTAAAGTTAGCTTCAGATTAATCTGCTTCTATTTCTAGCCTGGAAAAAATACATATAGTTTGCAGCAGCATGTTATATCCAATTATCATGAAGCGAATGGACAGTAGCTTAATGGCCCATATTATACCTATATACATATGCATACATGCAGGCATATATGAAAAGATAAAAAGTCCAAAATGCAATTCATGATGATCAAGAGAAAGTTAAACATCTGCAGTTGGATATTCAGCAAAGTTCAAGAACATTTCTAAGCAAAACAAACCTAGGAGCTGGCAACGGCGGCAAACTTTTCCATGTCTTTGTTTGGGTATCTAACACAAAGGAACGAGAAGTAGGAGGTCTGCATTGGGGACCATATTGTCCTGATACCACATATATATACCTCCCATCAGTTACCACTCCTAAATGAGAATGAGCCATATCTTTTGGCGTGTCAAACCTATCTACCCATGTGTCAGTGCTGAAATTGTAGACGTCAACATGAGAATGCACCTGGAAGACAAACATAGGCGCCAAAGGAAGCATCAAGATTAATACACTTTAATCATTAAGTGGACACTCAAGTATCAAAGAAGCAAAGGTTTATTATCTCAGAATTATTTTATATATACATCAAATCTAGAAGGAAGTGAGCGATTAAAACTCACAAGAAACCAATCAATTGAATCTGTAACTTTAACACTTAACAGATGAAAACTTGCATTCAATCCAAGTTAATTCTTCTATCAACCCAGCAGGAACAAATACTGGGGGAAAATACAATATCAAAATCATGGATAAAAAGGGATCTAAATTGCTAGTGATATTCTGTGGCAACACAGTCGACATGTAATGTATTAAACAAAACAAAAATACCATAAATGGAAGAAAATCTCACATAGTCAAGAGAGCCATATCCTGAAAATACGTAGAAAAGATCATCAATCACGATAGATGCTCCGTCCAACCTAGGAACTGGTGCCGGTGGCATTTTCTCCCAGGGCAAATCAGGTGCCGGTAAATCGGCAAAAGTTGGCGACAGATTTTTCTCAGAACCAAGCTTCCTTGCAGTGGAAGTATCATCTCCCTGTAAAATCATAACATCGCACATGACCAACGAAAAAAATTAAAAGGCTCAGCCGTTGGGAGAGGGGATCAAATGGAAGCAGGATTTCTGAGGAAATGAGAATCATGACCTTGCTTTATTTAAACATATATAGTAATATATATAACCTTGGAGACAATAAGAGCAAGTATTTTTGAAAGAAATTACGGACACAGAACAGAAGTCTCAACCAAGAGCCTCCTGTTTTGCAGGGATTTGTTGATTTATAATGTAGCAGGATGCGCCTACCACAAAGTTTCAGTCAATGATTGACATCGCACAACGATAACAATGTAGTAAGATCTAGGCGTTTCTCTCTCCATATTCATTTCATTTTCTTGCTCTTCAACGTAAAACGGACACTTACATTTGAAGTCTAGGGAACATGAAAGAATGATGTAGGATAGAGAGGAAAACAGATCCAATGCCAAAACGCGGCTTACCTTGGGAGGCGGGATAGAGGAGGCATTGGGAACAACTAAAGGGGCAGGGCGTCCAATGACCCAGTTTGATGAAATCGGGATATACACAGAAGAGAATGAGGCCCAGCAGAGAGACGCAACAAGAGTGGCACCCAGAATAGCGCCGCACCATAACAAGAAGACGAATTTGGTTGGAGATAGAGGGGAGTGCAAAAGATGAAGCCTGGCCATTTTGGTTTGATAGGAATCAAGAGAGCATAAACAGAGAGAGCCATTAATTTATAGAGAAGAAGGAAAGAATCAGGGAAGAAGAGGAAGGGATCGATTGGAGAAGAAGAGTGTTCGATGGACGATAAACGAAAATGTTCTGAGGCGCAAAAGAGTTGGGCGCCAATGGTTTCGAGCTTCCCTTCTATGTCCGCTACCCCCCATAGAAAGTCACCTCACATATACCATCTTTCTTCCTTTTTTTTTTTTTTTTCTCAGCCGTTTTCATTCTTAAATAAACACGTTCTTTTAATCAATTCTATTACGAGAACAAGGTGATTTTAAACAAAAAATTAACAAAGAACTGATCTTTTTCCATTTGAAGAAATTAGCATGATTTATTAGGTTGAAAAAATAAAAATTATCTCGATTTAAAAGTGATATTTATGATTTAACTTTTAATATTTGATTGATACGTGGGATAAATGTTTGTTTTAATATTCACTTTTGCAAGGGAGAAGGAGGCACTAATATTTAAATGAAAAAAACTATTAAATTTGCTTGCCTCTAGAGTAATCCGTGTAATTAAGAGAGAAAAGAGATAGATGTTCAATATTCTCTCTATAGTATTGGTAATTAATTTACATCATTATAATTATATCTTCATTACATATCTTATATAATTATATGATAATGATAATTAAAATTACAATATATCATTTTTTTAAAAAAATAATAAATAAGGTAGGGATGAGATTAAAAAACTAACTATAAAAATTATTAAATATCTTATATTTTAAATTAATATCTTATATTATGATAATCGGAAGGAGGATTTATTTATATAAACATGATAAAAAAATCCAAGTGAAATAACTAATCAAATTTAATTTCCCTCAGTCTGCATCTGAGTTACATTTTTGTTTACTGCGCGAGAAAATCTAAATCAAATCTAAATGAGCAAAAAGGATACAGTTGGCAAGACATACAAAACAGCTGGGAGCTAGGGCCATGCTGTGATCTAGCTGCCATGTCGGTGCGTGGTTTGATTCCTGGTCCTCTATTACCAGCATGGATAAGAATTTTTAAACCGGTTAATTTTATTGCAGCGTGCAAATAAACAAGTCTCACAATTCTTAATGTCCAGCGTAGTATGTTGCAAATGATTTTAATTAAAATATAAATAAATATGGAAGTGAAGATAGATATAAAAATGAAAATGAATATGTAGTTTGAAAATATATTGATATATTCAATCTTGATATAATTTTTATTAAAAATATATATTCATAGTGTTAAAAAAAACCAAAATCGCCTTACCGAAAAGGAAAAAAAACCCAATACTAACAAAATTACCCTCCACCATCGGAAACACCAATCTCCACCAGCAACACCATCATCAACACCATAACTTGAATAGCTTTTCAATACAATAACAGCAACAATAGAAGATGAAGAGTTGAAGATGAAGAGTTGAAGGTTTCGTTGAAGATCCTGTCTTCCACGTCACATAACTAAAGATAGAGAGCCAAAGACACATGAGAATCGAATATATGGTCAAAGTTGAAGTTAGAGATTTGTTGATGAGATGAAGATGAAATAGGGAAGAAGATGAAGGTGAGCTTTGGCAGTGATTGCATCTTGCCATCAACACCATCGCATCCTCGTCATTGTCGTAGTCCTCACCAGGGCCATGTTAAGAAATTTTGAGGTCTAAGGCCAAAGAAGTAAAGAGACCTGACATATAAAAAATTAGAGATAATTATATTAGTGTTTTTAGCTTTTTGAGCTGCAAAATCATATGACAAAGTTTTGTAATTGAGTAATTTTAACATTTCACTCTCAATAGATAATAAGATTAGTCAATTCAATTGATCTTGTAACATATTTAATTTTAATTAGGATTTGAATAACTTTAATTTTAAAAATCTTCTTTCTGCAATGGCAATTATTACAAGTATTGTTAATAATATTTTATAAGCAATACATACATTTAAAAAAAAATCTAATTTTTTGACATAGTTTAACATTTCAATTGACGTATTAATTTCTTCTGTTAATATTTCTCTAAAAAATTTTAATTCTAAAAATAAATCAAAACCATCAATATCATAATTGTAATTAAAACTTAAGAACTTTTTAATATTAATGTAAAATTTTTTTCATTTCATCATCATCCGGATTTTTAAATTTTTTAGATTTAAATAAAAAATGAAAAATGATTTCATATTTTAAAAATTGTTCAAATCAACTCTCAATAGAAGAAATTAATTGATCTAAAATGTATAAAAAATATTCAATATGAAAAGAATCTTTAGCTAAATGTATGATTTCATCACTAATATTTTCATTAAAAAATTTTTTCCTATGATTTATACATTTTCACAAAAATTAGGATTTATGTTCATTTTAGTAGCCATATTTTTTATAAATTCCAAAGTAGATGCAAAATTATTTTCTCTATAATTCTTTAAATAAGTAATAAAGCCTTTTAAATGATATATAGCAACATTTATGTGCATATCTATGGATTGAAGGATCTTACAAAATATAGAGAATTGTAGTATGTAAAAAGAGAATAAATAATAATTAATGACTAGATTAAAGCTAACCTATTAATTAAACATTATTTTGAAAATGTGGAAATGCTTTCATTCTTTAATGGGGAGAAGAATTGGGGCTTTATTTTTTCATTTAGCATTTATTACAAAATTTTACAAATACATATCCCTTTATATTAGGGATATTAATGATTTTTTTAGAGCCCTAGGCAATTTTCTTAACTGTCTTAAGGCTCCCACAACCTTGTTCCTCACTGTTGCCTTGTCATTGTGCTCGCCACCCTCCCTATCGTGTTCACCATTATCAACTACAAGGATAACACAATCCAAGCTAAGCCTTGGTAGAAATAGACTTTCATGCTCTCCCTTGTGGTTGATGGAATTAACTTCCATGTCGAAGCCCAATTTAACCCAATTTTGTCTAACTAGACATGTAAAATTTTAAATGTCATTTCCATATCTATTTTCATCATTTCAATTTTATAGTACCAAATGGGGCCTAAGAGCTACAATTCTTTAAAATATAAATATTAAAATGCACTTTGTTCTAGATTTAATATTGTTGCTACTTGTATGTTTGCATAACACTATGTATATGTAAATATCGTTCTAACAAACACAATCTAAAATGATTCAATTATTACTCTTAACTCTTGTTTATTGTGTTTGCAAGAAATATGATTATTGGGAATTGCCCTTATTGACAACAAAGATTCTTGTTCCAACAGAATCTGTGTCTGTGCAGTGTGTTAACACTTCTTCAATAAAGATATATTTGAACCATTTATCATGCTTGCTCTTGGGGTTTTTTTCATGTCAGTCAATGTAATTTGCAATCAAATGCTATTGTAGAGACTTGAGGCTTGGCCATGTTTTGTAAAATAATAATATGTGCGCTTCTACTCCCTCCTCAGAAAATAAAAAAAACAACCCCACATGGAGGCAAATTATTGATATTATTTAAGTATAAATGTATATTTTTGCTCTTGAATTATTCTCCAAATAACACTTAGTGTCCTAAAATATTTGTCATAGCATTTTCGCCCTAAAAATAATTAAATTGCAGCATTTTCTATCATGACATTAAATACCCACAAATGTTTGTTAGCCAATGCTAGCTAGGAGTGAACTTTGATAAAAATGTCACACTGATGCCAAGTGAAACTGATGGAATGAATTTAATTTAATTACAAAATGTCATTGAAATTCAAACTTCGTTCATCAAAAAATCACTACGATTCAACTGGCAAGCTTTAAACTTGAATCACCAGTTTTGCCACTTGTTCCTATTTCTTTCCTTGCCAAGCAATGAGCCATTGATCGGTCCTGCAATTGCATGAGTGATTATAAAAGAGATTTATTGAAAAGGGATTAATTAAAATTGATTTAAATAAATGCAATAAAAAAATGATGATCCAATCAACCAACAAACGTCAGGGGTTGAGTTTCGCCTATTGGGACTCTCCTCCTCTTACCAAAATGAGATTACTTAGCAATTAAAGTAATGAATGTTACTAAATTATCTTCATTATCCTCGATAAATTACGATATGTTTGATTAGAGTTGACTTAGCTCTCACTATATCCTAAAACCTCTAATTAAACCCATTAAGCTATGATCAAAGCCCCCATAAAAACTTAGATTATGTCTAATAAAATCATTTACATCTATTCTCTTACGTCTAAATTCGCTCTTCTCCTCTCAATGCATCACAAGAATTCACAAATAGAAAGCAAGGTAGCTAGCCAAACAATTCATGTTAAAAACAAAGAGAATAGATGAAATTGCATTAAACCATAAATAATCTCTCAAACAATAGGAATTAAAGGAAAACCGGATCAAGAGGAAGTTCATCTCGATCAGGCTACACCCTACCCTAACACTAGATTTAGAAAATCAAGATAAAACCTATAAATCCCATAAGTAATAACGACCTTGGATGTGAAAAAAGAAAAGGGAATAGAAAAGCAACTCCTAGATTAGAATAATGGTGCTCTAGTTCTATCTTCAGTTATCTCTTGCTCTAATAAGTGATTAAATTCCCCAACCATAAGCCCTAGCTCTCTTTTTGAGTGTTATCTCAAGCCAATCTTGAAATCTTTGCTTTAGACAACGTTTTCTCTACAACATCCCATAATTTATTTAAGAGTTAAATTAATTAATTGGGTAAATTAGGGGATAATATTTAGACAAGAATAGCCATTTAAGCCTATTGGGCCCCTAGATAGGTTTAAAATATGGTTTTAGTAGCTAATGGGCCAAATTAGGCCTAGATTCTTGATATTAGTGAAACTGCTTGTTTTGGGCTATTTGTTGCGGTGAACAATACATCTCATGATGGCGAGTGCACTAGAATTTAAAATCACAGAAAAATGTGATCAATTTTCATTTTGAGAGGAATTTGAGAGAGAGAGAGATGTATTAGCTCTAATAGGGTTCAACCTTGGTCAATTTTTAGAGGCATTTTAGGGTCTCTATGCCTTGGGTAAGTCTTCAACCTTATTCTTCTTGCTTTTTCTTAATTCTTTAAGCTAGTTTTTGTAATTTTGAGTGGCTATCTAAATGTGGTAGTATTGATGGGATATTAGATGGCTTTAATTAAGCCTATGAGTGCTTATAAATGTCTTTAATGAATCAGTCTTGGTAATTGTT